AACAACGACAATAACGCTGCTCCTTCTTCTTTTTTCTTTTCTTTCTTCTCTCTTCTTCTCTCTCTCTCTCTCTCTCTCTCTCTCTCTTTCTCTTTCTCTCTTTGCCTGGTGCGGGACGCAGGTCCTCAGGGAGGAAACCAATCCACCGGCGATCTATTCGCTCGTGCTTCGTCCCATCGACCTACCACCGGTTTGGCCTACGACCCGTTAATGTTGAAGCACGCTTGCGTTTGCGGCGAAACGGTTCGAGGTCATCCCGAGCACGGAGGAAGGTTGCAAAGCGTGTGGGCACGTCTCTCGGAAACCGGGTTGTTGCAACGTTGCGATCGAATACGTTCGCGGAAAGCTACCCTCGAAGAGATTCAAACGTGCCACAGCGAGGCTCATGCTCTACTCTTTGGTGAGTTTTATTGCAAATTAGTTAGACGTTTTCATATATATATATACACACATATATATATCTCCTCTTTTCCTCCTTTTTTCTCTCTCTTCACCTTCTTCCCATCTCTACCTACTATCTCTTTCCCATCCCCTGTTGTTCTCCTTCTTGTCCTCCTCATCCCCGATTATTTCGCGCGACACCACCGCGGCCAAAGTGTGTAAAATGTGCTTCGCGCAGGAACGAATCCGATGAATCGGCAAAAGTTGGACGTATCGAAGCTCTCTCAACTGCCCATCAAGAGTTTCGTAAGGCTGCCGTGCGGTGGAGTAGGCGTCGATTCCGACACCACGTGGAACGAACTGAATACCGCGCCAGCTGCTAGAATGGCCGTCGGCTGCGTCGTCGACCTAGCCTTTAAAACCGCAATGGGCGACATTAAGAACGGTTTCGCCGTGGTACGACCGCCGGGACATCACGCCGAAACCAACCAAGCCATGGGCTTCTGCTTCTTCAACTCGATCGCGATCGCTGCACGATTGCTTCAACAGAAGCTCGATATTCGGAAAATCTTGATCTTGGATTGGGTAAGAGCCCATTTTTCCCCATCCCCCCACCATACGTATCTGTTACGTATCTGTATATACAGTACACAATAGCATACACTGTACTTATACTCGTCTTCGCGTTCGTGGTGGTTGTTGTTGCGATCGTCACGCCCCTCGATGCGTGCGCGTGTGCGTGCGTGTGTGTGTATGTGTGTGTACACTCGAGGTCGAAGAAAGGATCAATATCGAGTTCGCTTTCTGTTCAGGACGTTCATCATGGGAACGGGACGCAGCAAATGTTCTACGACGATCCACGAGTGCTCTACCTGTCGATACACAGGCACGACGAAGGTAACTTCTTTCCAGGGACTGGTGGGCCGACCGAGTGCGGAGCTGGCGAAGGATTGGGTTACAACGTGAACGTGGCCTGGTCCGGTGGGCTGAATCCTCCTATGGGGGACGCGGAATACTTGGCCGCGTTCCGTAGCATCGTGATGCCAATCGCGAAATCGTTCGACCCGAACATCGTGCTCGTCTCGGCAGGATTCGATGCAGCCATCGGGCATCCCGCTCCCCTGGGAGGTTACAAAGTGAGCCCTGCGTGTTTCGGAAAGATGACGCAACAATTGCTCGGATTGGCGAACGGTAAGGTTGTCCTCGCTCTGGAGGGCGGTTACGATTTGGCCGCGATCTGCGATTCCGCCCAGGAATGCGTTCGAGCCCTCCTCGGGGACGAACCTAGCCAACTTCGAGAGGAGGAATTGACCAGGGCGCCTTGTCAAAACGCGGTCGACACGCTGCAAAAGACTATCGCCGTGCAGGTATTTTCAATTTCTTCCTATTTTTCGAACCCGTATTCGAAATCCGTTTTCTCCTTTCTTTTTCGATCGCTTCGTTTTTTTTTTTTGTTCGTTTCACGCAGATGTCTCATTGGCCTTGCGTCAAGTTGAACGCGCACACGGTCTCGATGAGCGCGATCGAAGCCGGACAAAAGGAACGCGACGAGACCGAGACGGTCTCCGCGATGGCCTCTTTATCGATGCAGCAGCCTACCAATTTAACGTACGTATATATCAAGTTATTATATTAAGTCCGATTCGATCTTTTCCCTCCTCCCGTCCCTTCGAGATTCGAGAAAGATTCAGGTTCGCAACGAATTTTCCAGAACTACCCCAGAACATTCCCGAGAAGTTTCCGAGGAGCCGATGGAACAGGACGACGCCAAATGAAGAAAAACGCGAAACTGTGTGTCGTCGATCGTGTACCGATGTGATCACGAGGCTATCGTTCACGTTCGAACCGCTTCTTACGTAGAACGTGAGTGACGACGACTGATCGATCCGAAACCGCTCAGCAATCATCAGTTTGACGAGCACCGCGTCATTGGGACGAAACGAGCCTTTATGCACCTTTTCCGCGCTTCGCTTTCGCACCTTGTTCATCCTGTGTATAGATCCGATCGAGCGCAAATCATGGTGGAAATCGCGAAATTAATCTCGACTAAAAATCTAAAAGACAGTAGATTTAAGTGTTTTCTACGCTTTTGCTAACTTCTCCTAGGAACGCGTGATCATAATACGCGTCCGTTCGGCCTCGCCTTTTCCATCCAGACTCGACGCCTATTCTTCTCTCTTCTTTTAATTAATTATCGTGTTACGGACCAGCCTTTCTGGAAAATTCTCGATAAAAATTCGATAAATATTCGGAATGGAAAATGGAGAATCGCAACGATAAAGCAAACGAAATGATGTGATCGTGACCGAGGGTGGGAGGGGGGGGTCGGGGGGCGAAAACGGCGGCGGAAGCAGGGATAAGGTGCGCGATAAGGAAGAAGTAGTAAGAAAAAAAAAAAAAGAAAAAGAAAAAGAAAAAAAAAGGAAGTGTTTCGATGTTTTCCATCCCACGACGACGTTTCGTTCTTCGTCATTTCTCTTCGAGCGGCATAGCATGATGTTCGATTGTCTTTTTGTCGCGAACAAAGGCTGGTGTGATTTTTGTGATATTTTGTAAAAAGCAGAAATTTTACAAACTGTAGTTAGTTAATGATGTGCAAATGTACGTACGAGTATGTAACTTAGTTCGATCTAAAGCGTGACAACGTGCGCTCGCGCCTCGTATGCCTGTGTAGAGATATATGTATGTACGTGTGTGTGTGTGTGTGTGCGTGCGCGCGCGAAAAAAATTAAGAAAGAGAATATATGTAATCGAGAAATAGGAGCATTTATTTTTATGCCGTGCATTTTACGAGGATTTTACGGAAAAAATGCGAGCAAATCTATCGATCGATAATTTCCGCGAATATATATATGTATGGTATATGATACAATATGGCAAAAATTGTGATCACGCGGATCAAAGATTCAAACACCTTTGTCTCTTGTATGCGCGAGAGAGGAACGCGAAAGAACGTGTGTGTGCACGTCGAGTACAAGAAATTCATGTGTATATTGAATGTTATGTGTCAGCAAGAATCTCAAGTGTTCGTTGTGTACGTCCCATATTTTTACTAAAAATTTCAAAGATATCGTGCGCAGAACGTTCATTTCGGTCGATTCGTGTCGTAAATTTCTTTCATTCGATATGTTACTTACCCCCTTCCCCGTTTTAATTCTAATTACACAGAGATATACCGATATAGGCCGATTCGTATCTTGTCCGTTCCCTTGTTCATTTCGCATCTTTTTATTTTAATCGCCGCCAATCTCATCGTTCACGCGCTTCATCAATTTTCCGATTCGACTCGACTCGACTCGACTCGACTCGACTGAATTCGACTCGTTACTACCGATTTCGTGATCGCGCGTGACGATCGTTTGGAAGTTGTTGACGTTTTACGAGAATTTTATTTGTTTCGAGCAGAAACTTGCAACATTCCGGTATCGTTCATAAAAAAATCGATACAAGTTAGATGTAACTCGTTGATAATTTGCATCGAAAATCGATTCTAATAAGTAAACAAAATAAAAAAAATTAAAATCGAAGAATATAAGAATGAAAATGAAAAAAAGTGTTACAAATACATTATTGCACGTGTCCGAATATGTCCATATTGCGTAAGCTTAAATGTATTAGTCATACATTTTTTATGTATATATAAATGTACCTCGTAAAGTAATTTTAAATAAAAACTATAGTCATTGTGTTACGCATACATACCGACAATACACGCGTGTCATTTACTTTCGTAATAGCGAAACGGTTTATGATTATTTAAGTTGATAGAAAAAGCTACGATTAGATAGATAATCCATACTTTTGTGTTCGTGATTTGAAAATTTTAAGAAAATCGTAAAAATAACCATAATTTGGAAGGTAAGTATTTCACAAATAAATACATACAAATAAAATATAAAATTACACGAAGATCTTTGTATTTGAAGATATTCTTATTTTTTTAAATTATATTCTCTTAATTTAATTTCCTTAATTTCTTGACGCATTATTTTCTATCTCTAGCATAAAAAAGATATAGACACGTTGAAAATATATCAAAGATTTAAACATATTGTTAACGATTTTAAAGGAAAAAAAAAAGAATAAAAATGTATTGTAGATTGACTTTTCACATCTCGCCTGTGATCATGCGCCAAAAACAAGTGGAATTGATGGAACAAGAACAGAGATAGAGTGAAAATATTGAAATCAACGCCATCTTTAGAGTGCCTCAAATGAAACGTTCAAAAAAAGGATAGAAAATATGAAGAGAAAGATAGAGATAGAATAAGAATTATACATCAGCATCATCTAACGCCAAAAATATCTATTTAGGCGCAAGATAAGTTCTAATACGGGTAAATTTATATCACGTTATATATGCCAGAAGACATATTTTCGTAACACGTACGTTCACATCTTCACAAGATAGGATATTTTTGTTGACGTTTTGTTCCTTCCGCTACAGACTGTATCATAGATTTTATGTATGAATAGATACTTTTGGCGTTCGATAGATGGTGTTGGCGGTTAATTCTTTTTCTATTTCTATCTTTCTCCCACTATTTTCTATCCTTTTTTTTTTTTCATTAGCGGCACTCTGAAGAGGGCGTTGATTTCAATATTTTTACTCTATCTCTGTCTTTCTTGCATCATCTCTCCTTATCTATAATTGATTTGTAAAATTTTTGTAGCGAAAAACGTATATTTTCCCTTATCTTTTAATTAATCAAAAATCTTAATAATGTCCATTCTATATCCAATTTTTAATTTTTCAGAATATTTGTTCTATTTTTTATTTATAATTTTTATTATTGAAATTTAACTTCAATTTCAATGTTTCATGTTTCAATTAATTGTTGGAAATCTTATTTTGATACAAAATGAATAACATCGTGAACGATATTAAAATGATAAACGATTTTAGTGCCTTCGAGGTATGGGAAAAAAATACATTCAATGTTAGATTTATTTCATATTTTTGTCCATAGTAATATCTCGTACACGTATATTTTTATATAAATGGCACATGTACGTGATAATAAGGGGAATCTTTAATGAAGACAATATCATCTGCATATTTAATGGCACGTAACTCTTAACTTCTTATACATGTAAGTATATACATATGTAAATACTTACTCATACAATCTCGCAATCCATCCAACAGTATTGCTTGTTATATTAAAAACGTTGAGAACGAAGAATAGAATTAATACGTTGATTGATATCTTCTAAATTTATTTTCTTTTTTCTCTTTTCATCTTTTCTTTGTTTTTTGTGTTTTTGTTCTTCGGTATACAGATTTATGCGATTATGACTAACCCTGAAAAAATTCTAACCTCATTCAGTCCTCTATTACGAATTGATTCGCAAAATTTATCATCTTCGAAACAATTTTGGATCAATTCATAGTCATCTATATGCAATGATGTAATTTCACATACAATTATGATAACTCTACAGTTATCACTTTGTTGGTTACATGTGCATGTACATTTATACATACGTACATACAGGTGTGAATCAGATATACGTAACAGGCATATGCACGTATGTTTATGTATACATATATGCACGACGTTACCGATTAATCTTTACATTTATATTATATATTGTTTATACGCTTCTATGATATATATTTATTTATATATATATATATATATATATATATGTATATACATATCACACACGCTCAACATATATATGCGTATATATACCTATATATATATATGATGTATGTATGGTATGTATGGGTGTGTGTGTGTGTGTGTGTGTGTGTGTGTGTGTGTGGGTGGGTGTGCGTGCGTGTGCGTATCATCAATATGTTACACTATCGATTATGTTTACATCATACAGCTTACAAATCTATGGAATATTCCTTTTTTTTTTATATATACACAATGATTTTTTTAGGAAAAGGAAAAAAAAAATTATTTAAAAACTTACCAAAATCACGCATACATATACGTATACGCGCACGTGTGTCCTATCCGTCACGAAAGCATTACGCAATCTTTCGTAATATAAACATTCACTCACTAATTCCATGTACTTCTGGAGTCAGAGATCGAGCAAAATCACCATCGAGAACGAATAAGAAAATTTAATTAGGAAGAGATATATTTTTGCAATCACGTTAACAAAATATCAAAGATTTTAAGCTCTTCCTCGTCTATTCTTTTTTAGAATCTTTCGTTCTCGTTCGACGATCTTGAACGGTTAAAGACTCGCGTCAATACAGCCTATTTATTATTGTTTCGAAATAAATAACGTTGATTCGTTTGCTTCCTTTTCATTGATTGCAATTGTAAAATCGATCGTACACTTGTCAAAAATTGAATAAGAGGAGCAAACTGGAACGGGAAATTCGAACAAAATTATTGAATCGACCATAAAGATTAGTGTTTTAGCAAACGTTGGCCACAATTCGTTCGGTTCGTACCATTCTATTTTTTTTTTTTATTATTATTATTATTATTATTATTTCGTATTTGCACGAACTTTCTTTGCACGAACTTTTTATTCCTTTGTAAAATTATACAAAAATAAGTTGTGTTACAGATTTTTGATGGCTACCGCGGTTTTTTCCTTTTTCTTCTTTCATCTTCCACCATCATGTTTAACGCCATCAGCAATCTTTCTTTCTTACAGGAGTCGACGGAATTTTCGATTCGTTTATCATTAATTCCCATCGATTATAGACAAGTTACTATACGTTTAATTGGCAATCGATTATTTTTTTTTTTTTTTTTTTTTTTTTTTTATTTCTCTTTACTAACCGAGGAAACTCGTTTCCAAATTTATATTTTATTTCTCATTGATTCCGATACGACGGGGTATCCATAAATTTTATATAGACGTATCCTACAGTTTTTGAATATATTTCTACGAATTTACTGTTATCTATCGTTAAACGATTCCTAACTAGATTTGGATGAAGGAATACAACTCGGTTCGCGCTTCATTATTAAATCTCGTAATTCGATAGCGTATGCGCATTGAAGGACAATGGGCAAACGCGCGCACGACAACACATCGAAATGAATTCCTTCGAACTACAGCCCGATTTTATCGGCTACTTTGGCGATTCTAATACTCTTTCGCGATTACGCAGCTATGTTGCTCGTCCTTGCATGAGAATGTGAAAGGGCAATACATTATTCGAGTCGACGAGCATCGTATGCCGCGTGGAGGCAGTCTTTCAAATGAAACCTATAGATCGATGTAGCGACTCACGCTCTCAGTCGTTCATTTTTTTTGATTTAAAGCGAAAAAACTTGGTGTGGTCGACATATGTACAAAAGATAGCGAATCGGATCACGTTTCAAATATATATAGGTAAATGTATACTCGTGTTCCACGATTGTAAGAAATGGTAGGAAATATTTCAAACGATTGCTATTTTCCAACTAGCACCGACCTATCCTTATTTAACGGTCGAAAAGTTTTGCTGCGGATTTTGATTCGAAGATACCCACGTGGTAAAGACATCTCTGCAATGACTAACCACGCATTCGTTGCTGCAATACTCGTCTTCCCATTCGCTATTCGCAACAGCGGTATTCGGGCATCCATGGCGTATACAAGCGTTCGACGTTGGTCTTTGACCAACCATGCTCGCAGCCTGAGTCACAGAGTTCACCGCTGGTGGAGAACTCGATAAAGTATCACTCTTTGCAGGATTCGTATGCATCAATTGTTGTTGCGATTGTTGCTGTTGTTGTTGGTGGTGTTGTACTTGTTGCGACTGTTGCTGTACTTGTTGCACTTGCTGTTGTGGTATCTATGAAAACGTGCAAATAATTATTTTACTTCTTTACCTTAATACAAATAATGATTGATATCGACGAAATCGGAATAATTGTAATTCATGAAGCGAAATATCGCTACTAATTCCATTCTAGAGGAGAAGGAAAGAATTGGAAAGAACAATGAAAAGAGAATTGAGTAGAAACAAATTAGAAGGAGATCGATATCGGACGATAAAGATCGAAATAGAAAGGATAAAAAAGGATGGAAAGGAGAGAAAAGAGTAAGAGTAACAAATTAATATCGCTAACCTGCATGTATTGTTGTTGCATGTGCTGTTGTTGTTGCTGTTGCGAAATATGCGTTGGTGCCATCGATGTTGCCATCAAAGTCTTGAAAGAAATAGATGAAATAAATAAAAAATAGGAAAAAAGGGGAAAAATGAATACGAATTTCTTACGACGTATAATGCTAAAATTATTACATATCCCGTATGTCGTTTAAACAACGTAAAAGAAGAGAGAACGAAAAAAAAAAAAAAATAACGATAAATAGATAAAGGAACGAGAATCATTACCTGTTGCGTTTGTTGTTGCTGTGGATTTCCTGGCATCGTTAAATGATGAGGAGACTTTTTTATTTGCATTTGTTGCGTCGATTGCTGATGATGTTGAAGCTGTTGATGCGGGTGAGAATGCGGATGTTGTTGCTGAGGCGAAGAGGGTTGTGGCTGTGGGCTGTAAACTTGATACGAGACACTTCCTGGTGTCCCATTCCCGGTATAATTACCATACGCTGCGTATTGAACTTGTTGTTGCGGCGTTGGCTGTTGTTGCGGTTGTTGTTGTTGTTGTTGATGTTGTTGATTGTCGTTTTCGGCTGCTCCCTTGCTAACTAAAGACGCCCTATACGCCGCAAGAGCCTGCAGATACTCCTTTTTGGCGGCCTCCGTTTTCTTTTTGTACACCTACAAACATTTCTTCCTCGATAAACGAATCTTATGTGAAAAAAAAAGAAGAGGAAGGAAAAAAAGTGACGATATATCCTTCGAACGTATGCACCACTCACGTTCTTGTGTTCCGTATCCAGCGCATCCCACATCGAGGCTACGATCTTTGAAACCTCACCAAAGCTCGCATTCGGATTTTGCCCTTTTATCGCAGCTTGGGTATCTCTAAAAAATAGAGCATACGCCGAAACAGGTCTGCAAAATAAATAATAACGTTTTACGAGGGTGAAAGAAAATTAACCGATTCGATAATGAACGGAAAACAACGGTTTAAAACCGTTCCCGTAAAACGTAACGCGTAAAATTTGTTATCATCAACTCGTTTCTCGTTTTACTATTCTTAATTCGATTCGATCGAGTTAAGTTTCAATTACCGATACTGCGTAAACGCGCGGGAGGCGTTAAGAAAGAGTTTAAAAACTCCGGGCTATAAATCGGGAAGAGGAAGAAATAAAAATGTCACTCACTTTTGCGGTTCGTTGGGATCCCTCTTTTTCTTCTTTTTCTGCGATTTTGGTTTTCTTTGATTTTTTGCTCCAACGTCGGTCGGTTCCGGCGAGGGTCGCTTAATCCCGGTAATCTGTACAAACGAATGCGAATCGCGCAAGATTTACTAGTTCTTCATTTCGGTTAGAGATCGGACGCGATCCGATCAATCGCTCGAAGCTCACCATTCCGGAATGTGGCGTGCTATCGTCACTGTCTTCGCTCGTGGTAGTATTGTTATTCGGCTCGGGAACCGTGTTCGATTGTATCGCCGAGGGGCTACCGCCCGTTGGACTTCTATACTGCATTTGTTGCTGCAATTGTTGTTGCTGTTGCTGCTGAGTGTGCATGTACTGTATATGCTGTTGCAACTGAACTTGTTGCTGCTGGTGTTGCTGTTGTTGCTGCTGCTGTTGAAGCAACATTATCTGCTGGTTTCCATGCTGTTGCCGCGGAGAGCTCATACTCACGTACGAACCCTGCGACGTACTATACGTCGAGCTAGGAAAAAATAAACGTCGAAAAACAGGATGAAAAACGAGCGAAAATCTGCCTGAAAGACGAGATTGGCGAATGAAACGATCGATCGATCCTGATTTCATAATCAGACTCCTAATCGGTGGTGGGTTATCAGTCGACAATTAATCGACACAAATCCGCCACAAACGCCATTGTTACCGGTCGGTAAGATACAATCAATATGAGATTCGTTTAAGAACCAACATTAAAAAAAATCTTACCTTACGCTGATCGGTTGTTGCATCGAGTGATCCTGTTGCAGGTAAAGGGATTGTTGATATCCACCGGGATCTAAATTCAATCCGTCGGAAGATTGTTGAACGTTACCGGTTTGCATCATCTGCCAAAAAACATTCGAACGAGGATAATAGTTTCCGTTTCCTCTTTCAAACATCGTCGTCGTCGTCGTCTCGCGCGGCAAATTTACCTGTGTTTGGTAGCCGTGCATCGGATCGTGTTGAGGCTGAGTCTGTTGTTGCGTTTGATGCTGCTGCTGCTGCTGCTGTTGAGGCTGTTGCTGCTGTTGCTGATGTTGTTGGTGAGAATGGGAATGGATAGCCGGTATATCGAAATCCTCGTCACCGAAACTAGGGGTGTGAAACGTCTGCGAAGAAAGGGAACGAGTTTCGTATGGAATTTCGTACTGCAAACTCTCTTTGAAGAGGACGGTCCAAACCGTCTTTTGGAAAAAGTATGCAAGTATGGAAACACGTTCGTCGACGTGTGAATACACACAGACGAGCGAAAATATAGAGCATAAAAAGCAAAAGCATTCGCTCGAACTCGTTCAGCGCGAACGATCGTCAACCAAAACAATCGTTTTCTTTTTTTTTTTTTTTTTTAAGTACGAGCCATTCCCTCTCGAATTCTGTCATCAATTTCGTCAAATTTGAAGCATTCGATCATTCACGCTCTCGATCGTTTCTCGATCAATACGTTGTACGAGAGAGAGAGAGAGAGAGAGATCATCACGGAGAATCGTTTGAAATCCTTTTAGCGATTTATCAACGTTCCGAGGCGGGGAACGCGAGGGAAGGAAAATACATTTGCCGTGTGGAGCGTGTCGGGCCATGGGGAATAAAAGTTTTTAAATTGGATTTAATAGCATCAGGAATTTTCCTTTGAAGGAACGTACTTGCCTATTGATCGAGTATACCTCTGCCCCTCTACCCCCTTACTGTGCCCATCGCGCGTTACCCCTTACCTCGCGATGTTTCTCTTACTCTATCGTTTCGCTCTCTCTCTCTCTCTCTCTTCCTTTTCACCGCGCTTCGTCCCGTAACGTCCCATAACCGTCCCGTCGGTGCTCGCGTCCTATTTCAACTACTCCTACACCTCCTACTCCTCCTCTCGCGCACCTCCTTCTCCTCCACCTCTGCCCCCCTTTCCATCTCCGAATCGACTACGCGCTCGTCTATCCATCTTCTTCCTTCACCGCACAGCTTCCAAACTTTTCTTCTCTCCGCGCACTCACTCCCCTCCCGCGCTCCCCCTCCCTCCACCCACCCGTCCCTCTCTGCCTACTCGGCGGCCGAGGAGTAAGATAGTCGTATCTTTCCTACACCCGGCCTCGCTCACCCCCCCGCGCCCAGCCAACCCGTTCACGCTCGCGCTTTCGCCCGGTGCGCCCGTGTCCCGTACCCGACCGTCTCCGCCCCTGCCCTCCCCCATATCCGAACCGATAACCGAACCTTCTTCTTTCCTACGAATTAACCATTTTCACAAATACATATATGTGTGTGTGTGTGTATATATTCGGGGGAACTTACTTGATCGGCCATGGTGTAGCTATTCTGATGATACTGCGTCGAATGATGATGCTGCGGAATGTTCAACGAAAAATCCAAACTCTCGTTTCTCTGAAACAAATAGAAAAAAAAAAAAAGAAATTATGCGTATATAATATATATATATATATATATGTGCGTGTGTGTGTATTTTTCCATTGAATGTTCATTCGCCGCCCATTCTTTCCTTCTTCCAAAAATATTGTCCTTTCCAAAAAGGGACGCGCAATTTGTCGATCGACCGATTTGCCTCGGTCCTTTCCGCGACGGGACAAGCGCTTCCTTCCTTCCTTCCTTCCTTCCTTCCACCCTTTTTACTACGGTCAATGGCCTCGAGAAGCGTGAGGAGTTCGTCGATTCTGCGTTTCGTTCGATGTTTTGCACGGTGGAAGGAATCCGCGCTTCCGCGTTCCCGAACGAGAATCGGTCCTAATCTCGTCTTTGGGACGCTCGTGATAGGATCAATCGGATCGCGTTTCACGTATCGAATTCGTTTTAAAAAACAACCTCCTTGTATATCCGCGAATTCCAATGTTCTGGTATTTTTTTTTCCAATTTACAACTTAAAGAGAATCTCCTTCGTTTCTTACTCTCAAACCTGTTGTTTCGACGATGTGACGAAGTTAGCAAGGATAAATTCTTCCTCGAACGTATCTTTTTCAATTTTTACGACCAAACGCGCTCGAAACGCGTTTTACGATTTTTCGATTTTCGAAAATTTGTCCATTCGATTCGAAATCGATCGAATCGTAAAATTGAACGGGACGAGACAACAACGATATTTAAATAAGATCTTTCAGTGAAAAAAAAAAAAAAATCGAACGATAAATAACGTTAATGATGTAAATAAGAAGAAGGGAGAATAACCGAAAAATTGACCGTGATGGAGAGAAAAAGAGAAGAAGGTAGGGTGCACGATACGTTATACTTTTCCCAATAGAAGCAACAGCAGGCAGGCAGGCAGGCAGGCAAGCAGGCAGACAAGCAGGCAGGCAGGTAAGCAGACAAGCAAGAAGCGAGCAGGTAGGTAGGTAGGTAGGTAGGTAGGTAGGTAAGCAGGCAGACAAGCAGGTAGATAGGTATATAGGTAGGTAGGTTGGATAGTCGATCGGTAGATAGACGAGATGTGTAAGAAAGATCAACGAGAAAATCCAAATCGGATAATCGAAACGAGTAGTGAGTTCGTGCGAAGAATATTTCGTTAGTCAACCTCATCAATTTTGACAATGGATATTTGGGATTTGACCGATAATCGACACGTTCTTGTTTGCTTGTTTGTTTCTCGCATTATTATTTACAACTACGCTCTTGGTTAACGAACGAAAAGAGAACGAGAAATATCATAAATCATTCATCGTGTATCTTGACATCGATGTTCGAATAACTTTTTCGACGATTGTATTTGTCATTTTGACAGTGTTCGAAATATTATTTAAATAGCAATAGGTGGTGACCGAGTGTGAAGAGTGGTTAAAATGAGAAAAGCATCATATTTGAAGTGAGTAAGAAACAAGAGAGGAACGAGGCAAAAAAAGTTAGAGACTCGATAGACGGTATACCAAAGAAGTATACTCTTACTCGGCGTATAATAACCGATGTTAAACCTGTTTCTCGTCCCAATCCCTTCCCCCCCCCCTCCCTCTCACCCGCTACGCTCCCACCTCAATATATTCAACATCATCACCATTCGTAATCCGTAACTCGTAATCTTTTCCTCGTCCTTTTTCCCCCAATTTTTCCCCCAAAATATATACTACTACATTATATTTTCTTCCGAAAAGTAATCTCGTCGAACTGTAGTGTCCCCACTACTTCGTCGAAACGAATTTTTAAATATCGTTTCGATTTCTAATCTAAAAGAACGGTGCGAAAAAACGTAAACGAATTTATAATATAATATATTCTTAATACGGTATTCGATATTCGATTCCCGATAGTAGGACACGATATCCTAATTTACGCGATAAACGAATACAAAACGATCATCGATCGATTCAATTTGAGAAACAACTTGAGAATCCAACGATCGAAAAGTATTTACGAATATTAGAATCGGCGTCGTTCGTAAAGTTGAATCTTCCACCGAGAGATGGCGGCTCAAGATTAACTCGAATATATTTCGAAAGCAAACACCAACATTTCGGATAGAACAACAAATCTTAATTTCGAAGCAAATTGGAAATTTAATCACGATCACAGTTATTTTATCGAGAGAATTCTCGATAAAAGGGTAACGGTGACGATTGATTGATATCGGTTAAAAGAAGAATCCCAAGATCGATGACTTACCGATGAGACGAACCGACGACTCGTCGGGATGGGATCCAGGTTATCGAATGCACGTGTAACGTGCAGCGTGCCGCGATACCGTTAGCGTACCACGATGAATCCTTCTCTTTTAAAACGCAGCTTCTTTCTGTAAAAATGATTCGATTCGAAAGAAAACAAGTCGAAAGGAAACGTTACATACGTTCGATAAGATCGAAACGAAACGAACGAAACGATTCGATTCGACGACTTTTTGTCATTCGACCGTCTATGCACACGTCGACACTAATCAAGCAACACGTTTTCACATCACCACGCGTTCTCGTTACGTTACATCGACATGGATAAACACGTAACACAATGGCTTTATCGAAACGACACAACGAACACGAAATCAAAATACAAATCGCTATGCACATACACAACGTATTCGACTCGTGGCGTAACTCGTGACAGCGTGGCAAAACGACGCGCGCTCCTCGCGGCGGCCGGCGCGGGAATGATTGAAGGGAGGTTCAGTTTGGTGGCACGCTTCGATAGTGGGGATAGATCTCTCGACAGGGGAGTAGACTCGTGCGCCCCCTGTCTAACGTATATCGGTAAAGGATACAATGTGTGCAACCAAACGATACGATACGATACGATACGATACGATACGATACGACGCGAAACAACGTACATTGCAAACACTACCACTCTCATTTATGAAAAATTGTATACAAATATATACGATCACAGTTACCACAGTTAAACAAATGGACAATCGTTATTCACGACACAAAGAGAGATAATTAAAAGAAATGGAACGAGGAATGAATTTAACCGATTGAATGTACAAATTACGAATGAACAAATTATGATTTATATTTTTCTGAATCTGAAAGATTCGTTTCGACCGTACTTTTTTTCCATTCGATTTTTTTCCCCCCAATATATTTATGAGAAAATAAATTTTCGCATTACATCGTTCGTACGAAATATAAATCATCGTATTCATCGATTACATATATATATATATATATATATATATATATATATATATATATATATATATA